AATTTAATATGTTTTATTATCAATCTAAACCTGAAGCCACTATTTAGTATCAAGCACCTAACTCCGTCTATGTCACGCATGTGTTATTAATTCTATAAATATTGTCTCTAAAATTCGTGAGCGGAGTGCATCGTGAATTTTTTCGATGCGCCGACACGATCGTACTAAAATACTATTTGCGTCACACCCGCTATAGGCCGACGATTTTCACTACACCAGCGAACGCATGAACACAAATGTTCAAATACAAGGCATCTTAATTACTGTACTGTTAACTGTTGCTCTAGTTAACAATTGTTTGAAATATTTTGCAGTTAGTTGAAACAACACGCTGTAATGAACGTATTGAACGTGAATATCTTTAAGTTTTACTGAGTTGAATGCGACGGCCGAGCGGTTGTATGATTGAATCTTGCTTGTTGTTGTTAGTAATTTTGTAATAGACGCATTTCTATATATATTTGAAGTTAGTATACATGCACAGAAAACAGTGCACAGATGAAGTTAATGTTATACAAAACATTTTTGATCAGAAACTTTTTCTATCTATATACATAATAGTATTATATATTTTTTTTATTAAAAACGTTGCCACTACTACTAGGATTTTCTCCTGTGTCATGTGTGTTTTTAAAAACATACAAGTTCACATACACATAATACTCAGACATGGAACAACAATCTGTGAATCACACAAAGTGTTGTTCCGAGCGGGAATCGAACCCAAGACACGGTAGCCAGTTGTTTAGCCGCTATTAATAAGTGAGCAAAGTTTTAGAAAATATTTTCTAGACAAACTACTCATAGTAGTAACGCTTCGAGAGGCTTTCGAATAATATACATGGTTGTAATAGGGTAGATGACTTATTTTTATTTTAATGTCCGTCTGGTAGATTATTTAAAAACATTACACACGTATTATTTATATTTTTACAGAAACAAATACTTTCGACGATATATTGATTTGAAATGTGGCGTGACGTCACTTCTACGTGCATTTTATACGTAGAAATAACGTTTTAGCCCCTACTATTCAACTTTGAGTCGTTATATCTAAGTTTCATTTTATTATACGACAAAATAAAAAAATACGTGTATAATATTTTTTCATTACCTAACTACGGACTAATTAGATTTTTAATTTTCATATCTTGTCATCATCCCTATTTATATGTAGCTGTTCTAGAAAAAAAAAACAAATGTCACGGGTAGAATAAATTATCCAATTACAAAATTATATCAATAAACGCTTGTTATCAACGATCAATGATCAATGACCAATTGCCTAGCAGTTATTGAAGCCTTTGTTCTTAAATTTTTTGTTGCGAAATTAATTGTATTTTTTACTACAAAGACATGAAAGAAAACGATAATTGTATTCCAAAGAAACAGAATCCTTTGCCAGTTTCTCCATTCGTAATGTTTATGAACTAGACAGCTTTTTCATATCCTGTTTGACAATTACAATTTATAGTCATCTCCTTTCTTTTATTAGTGTTGTGTGGGATTACAATTTTATTTATATGTATGTATGTATGTGTATTTATGTGTTGGTTTTGTGGTAAATGAAAATAGAACTAGAAACCAGAAAAATTCGTTTTATAATGTAAACAGACAACAACGAACAGTGGATGTACATTAGTGTTTATTAGTTGTTAATTAGTGATTATCAAACAGATTGATTTTTTAATTTATATTGTAGTAAATAATGCTAAATAGTTAGGAGAACTGAAAACTCGTATATTTATCAAAACTGTCATGTAACTGAAGATTTATTTATCTATTGACCACTCAATTTTAAATCGCGCCTACGTAGTTCTGTCACTATAAGTTCTTTGTAAAATGACGAGATATAAATACAATTTAAGATTGAGCTGCATTTCGGTTACGGACGTATGGCACGTAAATAACCCGATACGTTTTCAATCAATTAAAAACGTTACGATATGAGTAAACATTTAATAAATCTGTGCTATTTCGATGACACTTATTGTAAAACGAATTCTGTGCACGATAAAACCCGAGCTGTCGTTAACAATTTGCTTTATTGGCTGTAGGCCATATCATTCGATTACAGAAACATATAATTATGATTACACAACATTATGTGCTTTTGTTATAATAAACAAAAATTGAAATTCCCTTTCACCATTAAGTAATGTGATGAATAATTAATTCCAATTTATTTATTAATGTTGCTCCTAAGACGACATTTATTAATTTGATTGCTATACCGACGTGACTATAATTTGACGCGGATGTGAAATTGAAGGATATTTTACCATTTCTTGATACTTATAGTACGTCGATTTCTGTGAGTATTTAATATAGAAATATTTATTTATTTATCATTTCATGTACGTAGGTACCACACAGTAAACAATATTACAAAGGACAAAAAATATATGTTAAATAAAAAAAGAATTATAAGTGTGTATTTTAAACAATGTTTAGCATTAAAAGTTAATTTCTGTGGAAGAGTTTCGATATGTGCGTTTAATGAAAATAGGCATTAAAATATTAAATCCTTAATGATAATAAGGAAATCATTGAAGCGTCCTAATTAGATGACGATGAAGTAAATTACACAAATCAAATTATTCGAATAACGGTACAATAGATTTGTACGTGCTTAGAAATTATTAATTAGTACTGTGAAACTGTGATACAAATTGGCTCCTTGGTTTGCTAAGAACGTGAAGCTTTGAGCGTGGGCCTCGTATTGGGAAAATGATATTTACTTGTTTTCTCGTTATAGAACGGAGTTTAAGAATAAAAATAATGTTTGTATTTCAGAAAATATTACAATTTTGTTGTATCCTAGACCTCACACTAGGATTCTCTATGTCGTGAGGCCCAGGCTCCTTATCAAACAGTAAAAAAAAAACTTTTTCGTTAAGAATAGTGCTACAATGACGTATAAAATAAAATTCACAACTTTTTGTTCTTATGTGCCCGGTATATGGCAATAGGCTCACCCCCTATTACATGGGACTCATAACATAAATAGTGAAAAGTGGGTGTTACATTGTAGTGGCATAATGTGCACCTCTGCCTACCCCTTCGGGGATAAAAGGCGTGATATAATGTTATGTTATGTTATGTTGTTCTTATGTTAGAACCAAACACATAATAAACCAATATTTATATTAATATTCAATTGAATTTTACCGAAATAATGAAAGTTGGAAAACTACTTGATCTAAGCGACATTTTTTTGTAATATTGTTATATACCTAACCTACATCACAACGAAGGAAAATTCACTGATTTCGAACATATATTTAGTTCAATATCGTAAAAAATATCGCTTAGATCAACTAGTCTTTCAACCATCGAATTAAAGGGCATTGATTAAAATTGGTGTCTTTCTTTTTTCTGGCGGCAGTCGATGATTTATGGAAAATATTATCTAGAATGACATTACAAACGAAATTGTCTATGGGCTTATATATAGAAATCTCAGTCTGGACTGAGTTATGAGCGTTGAAAGGAGCTGGAGTCAAACATTTTACTTCTGTTTTTTATTCAAATTATTCATAGTTTTGTCACAATTTCTAACTTCAAATTGCGCGCCACTGTACTCCGGGCACAAGAAAACCATATCACACCACAATATATTCATATTGCCAGGCAATAATTTTTATTACCTATTTTCTCTCAGTCGATAACTTGTGGGATGCTTCTAGGAGTTGTGTCATGAAGCTTCATGAGCGTCAGCTATGATACCAGTGGTGGATTGAGTAGTGGTAGCCGTCCAAAGATCTAATAAAGTATATTTTTTTGCCATTGACTCCTGGTGGGACACTCATCTACTTAATAGTTAGCATAATCTTTTGAAGAAAGAAAACCGTCGACTTTTATAGTGATCAGCGCTATTCAATCCGCTACCGACGCCGCAGCTGACAAACATAGCATTTCATGATGGGGCTCAGTAAAGTATTTTGCGGGTTTTTGACTGAGAGGAAATTGATCACGAAAATCTGTCATAGGCCATAAACCGTATACATATAAATTGAACACGCTAAGCCAATCAAGCGAAATGTTTCTTTTTCTTCAGCAGTGGTCAGTTAATGGTTCACTCTGTTCTGATTCAGTGGCCTTATAACAAAAAAAAAAAAACAAAAAAAAAGTAAAAAAGTCCACAATAAGCTTTAATATATTCCTTGAAATCGTTTATAAACATTTATTATAAAATATTTCTGACAAGTAAATGAAGAAATATGCGTTGTGTACGGTCACCATCAACAAAATCACAGGGATAATATAGCACTATTTTCACATCTTTGAACTGATTTAACTCGATTCGGACTGTGTTTTTGATATAAGACCCCATATATTTTTTTGTTTGTAATATTATTCTGCATCAGTTTTTCCACATCCGGTCAACTGCCGCGAAAAAATAAAAAGGCACCACGCTCCATACAAATTTGGTCATTGTCATTTCCTACACTTTTTATTAAACCTTTAAAATTAATCAATGAATTTATTTACGATATTTTCCAAGTTAAGCAATATTAAGTGCGATGCAATAAGGATATTATTAATAATTATGATTTCATAAACCGACGCGAGTTGCTAAAGTATTTTATGTGCATCTGAAAGTGCTGTAAACTGGAGTCTTTAGAGCTGCTGTAACTTGTTATTAATAAAGTTTTCTTATTGTTGTTTATTAAGTAGGCTAGTTAATGAACTATCTTTGCTATTTAAATATTTTTATACTGTAAGATACTTTTCCCTGAAAAAACACACAACAGCGTTTTCGATTCTTTAATGTAATGAAAAATTTATTTCCGCACATGTTTAATTGGTTTAATTATTAATACTGCGAAACTTAGTTTTATTCGATAATTTTTCTGTTTGATAAGAACTTTAATATATTTTTTTTCGTAATTGCAACAAGTTAATTTTCAATGAAATCCCGAAAAATAAACGACATAAAAAAAAATGTTTATAGAATGACCGATAAATGAAAGTTTAAAACAATAATAAAAACTTACCTTTGCAAATCTACACGTCGAAATAAATTCAGCAGCTAACTGGTTTTCGTTTACGTGAAGTAAAGTATAGGATCACTTTTACAAGTAACTACGAAAGGTTGTAGTTGCTGCTTCCGTGGTCTCCTCGAAGGTTTTTGAAAGCAAATGAACGGTGCGAGGTGTCGACGCGGTTTATATACTGATGCGGTGCTAAGCTACGCCGCGTGATTCACTTACGTAGGCGCCGTAGAGCGCTACGCTGCTACGCGCTACGTCGCTACGAAACTGCTACGGAGCTACGAAATGTTAGTTTGTAGATATTTGGTTATTTTGTTGATTTTGAAAAGATGAAAAATTTAATAAAATTAATCTTAATATTCTCACGGCACTAATTAATGTCGAAGGACTGCAGGAAGAGATTCCTTCGGGAATATGTAGTACCTATGTACCTCCAATTTATTTATATATGTGTTCTTCTGTGTACTGTCTGTGTGTTGTGCATAAATAGATAAATAAATAAATAGATAAATAATGTTGGGGTTTTGATTTAGTTATTTTTTTATTGGGAAAAAAATTATATGATTTGCAAATGGAGAAAAATAATTAAATTAAGTTTCATAATATTGTAAAACTTTGTGATATGAGTTACAACATTAATGGCATTGAAGACAAATGAATCGATTGCTTTTTTTAACTTAATGGTGGCAGGTTCTTGTTGACATTTCCAACTTATTTGATAATTAAATGTATTACCCAAAATTAAATGAAATAGAAAGTACATAAAACACAATAATATCATATTAACAAATAAAACAAAGTTTTGATTGCCTGACCATAATTAATATCGATTTGTTAACGGCATGCGGTAGTTTGACTAGCATTTATTATTGAAAATGTACATAATACAAGTCGGTTTTTAAGCTGAATGCGAGAAAAGCTAACCCTTGTGGAACCAAAAGGTTAATAATATTACATAATTTATGAGAAGTTACACACATTTAAATAGGTACTCTAGGGATCAATAACATAACAGCACATAACATAACATCACGCCTTTTATCCTTAAAGGGGTAGGCAGAGGAGGAGATATATATATATATATATACATATGTACATACACACAGATATGAATAAAGAAAAGTAAGTGTGATGGCTAGAGATTGAAATGTTCGCTTAGGTCTGTAGGTGCGGGTTCGAAACCACAGCCGACTTCCCCAAGTTATATGAAAATATTATATATCTGCTTTCTAAGTTCAGTTCATTACTGCCATGCAGAGAAGGAAAATATTGTGAAAAGAGCTGGGAGCTGGAGTTACTTTTCAAATTAAAAGTTTGTAATCGTCAAACCGCCAGCGTGGTGATTAATTCTGATTCTTTTCCGTGTCTAAATAGACTCTTGCCCAGCAGTGGGATCTTTACAGACAGACGATGATAAGAAAAAATATGGTAACTGAAATATAGGTACTTTATTTTGGTTTTAAGTTAAGTGTTTTAAGTGTTATGTTAATGTTAAGTGTGTGTGTGTAAGTTAAGTTAAGTGTGGGAGAGCTATGCTTCGGCACGAATAAGCCAGCTCGACCGGAGTGATACCACGGCCTCACAGAAAACCGACGTGAAGCAAAGCTTGCGATGTATTTCGTCGTGTGAGTGAGGTTACCGGAGGCCCAATTACCCTCCCCTTCCCCAATCTCCCCAATTCCTGAACCCCCAACGATCCTCAAACTCCTAATCCCCAAAAGGCCGGTAACGCACCTATAACGCCTCTGGTGTTCCAGGTGTCCATTTTCGACGCCGATTGCTTACCATCAGGATGATCCGTCTGCTCGTTTACCGGCTTATGTCATAAAAAAAAGGAAAACTAGTCAATCGAGTGGACATGTTTTACGGCTAAGCATAGACTTAGAGTTAAGCATAGCGATAGATTTTAGAAGTTTTAAATTCGCGGACCAGTTAAAGATTATGGAGAACCTGTATGATTTTTTTCAAGTTAAATTTTAGAAATTATCAATGTTTATTAGCAAGAAGGTTTTAGGTAGTGGCTCATTAGTTTTCTAGTACAAGCACTCGCTTGTAATAACTCGGGACTATTAACAGTCTGATAAAGCTTTGTAACTGCGATCACCACCCTGCCTGGCAAGTGTGGGGATTACGGGAAACGCTTTCATTAATAAGACTTAAAATCTAGCAACGAACTGATGTGTGAGCTAAACAGGCTGTTGGTGATGGCAAAATGTTTATTTATTTATCATTTTATGTACACTATGCAACAGACAATATTATAAAAGACAATACATTACAAGCATTAGGTTAGTACATAGGTACTGCATATTCCTTAAGGATTTTTTTCCTACGACAGTAAAAGGTATTCAGACATCAGACACAGTATACAAGCTATTATATTTAAATTGAAGTTTTATATGTCAAGTATGAATTTTATATAAAAATGCAAATATAGTCTAATGTCCACCCCTTTAAGGATTTAAATCCTCCTTAGTATAAAAAGGAAATTCATGTAGAAATCCGTTAATCGAGCAAGAACAACAACATGTAAGTTATAACTTAATAATTTTGGCATGGTCAACACCCAGTTAATGGGATTGTAGGCAGCTATGAGGCAATATATCAACATTTTGATAAAATTATCTCTCAATATGTCATGATATGCTTTAATAACAATTTCGGGACTGAATGGCTAGCACCGATTATACTTGTTTACATTATCTTGATAAAAATGACAAATAGCCTCAATCGGACAAAGCTCTCTTAAAGCTTTTATCATGTAGGCACTAGCTGTCCTTCCCGGTTTTGCTCGCATGCTATCTATATTCCCTGGCAGACGTGATGAATTTATATTTTTTTTATTCTACTCAACTGTCTGCTCTGCCTCGCCTGACTGCCTCGTTGGCCGAGTTATCGCAAGTGCGACTGCCGGGCAAGGGGTCTCGGGTTCGATTCCCGGGTCGGGCAAAGTATTACTGGGTTTTTAAAAAAAAATCTCAATATTAACACGGCTTCGAGAATAAAAGGCGTGATGTTATGTTTAGGTTATTTTACTCAAACCTTGTTTCGACTTTATTGAAAGGATTTTTCCAATTTGAGTATACTTTTTCAAAAGTTGTCCGCGTACATACATTTGTCGTTTTTTTTATACTTTGATACTGAACCACATAATATAATATATGGCTGACTATAACCTAAACGTTATTTACATGGTCCCTGAAACAAGTTCTGATATCTTGTCAAACTGTTAAAATTATTGGTTGTAAGTAATCACACCGTGATAAGACTTTTTACCTCATTTTTTACAAGCTTTTAGAGTATTTAATGGTTGTTTAATGTTTGACATTGAACAAGTATGTAAAACGTTTTTAATTTTATTCACAGTGATATTTTTGTTATATCTGTAGCTTGTTTTGCTTAAGCTAAGGACTCATTAGTATTAAAATATGAATAAATTGAATATGTAGACTAATTACTTTTTATTTTACCTTTTGATTTTTTTTATTATTATTACTTATTTACATGATATATATAAAAAATAAGGAAATAAATAAATATGTACAAGTTAAAATAAACTAAAATGAATGCAGAAAATTTAATCCAAGATAACTAAAAATCAAGACTAACCATTTTGTTACCAATTAAGTATGTTTTCAAAAGACGAGTTGAGTATTTTGTATTTGAGAGGAAGAGGTACAATATGTATGATGTACACAACACGATGAACGAACCTATCCTTAAAGTTTTTGGTAACCTCACAAACCGCCAAACATGGTGATTATAACAAAATCCTTCAAAAAAAGGCTTCTTTGAATAACTTTAATTTTTATAAATTTATTAAATTAAATTTACTTTTGCTTTTAAACTCAAACTCAAAAGCATATATTTCAATTGAACCATAATTTGATACTTTTGAAACGTCAACAAATATAAAATAAATAATAGTCCGTCAGTGAAGCTAGGTGCTCGTTCCAAAAAGTTTCGAGTGGACAAGAATGAGTAAGAAATTCCATTCGTTACTCCTTAATCTCTTTTGAAAAAAAAAACGGGTCTAATATAAATATTTACCTATCCTATCAATCAAAGGTTCAGTTTCCAGGACTTTACTGGAGTGTAGGGAAAACCAAAAACATATTTACTATCAGTTTATTTTAACAACATATTTTTGCCTAGTCAGGTAATGACGTCACGGCCTTCCAGTGAATTAATTGTGTCACTAGTCGATAAAAAACAGTAGGTTTACATAGATTACTATTTCTAATAATAGCCGATATGTGAGCACTTGGATTACTGAGTACTAAGAACTTTTGCCCACATGTTGTTTCCTATTTGTGTTTACAATCCTACATGACTAGATATTGCTATTAAAAATTAGATTATTTATTAATAAACTTAAGTCTAAAAATGCGTGTGTCAACGTGGTGTTCTTTAATCTTTGTCCGCATTACTCACTCATTTTTGCATGAAATGGTGGCATTGCATTATTATGTCCGATTGGTCGTTGGATTTTTTTATCCTTTTATTGATTGTATCAGCGAATGATAATGACGGGATTGGGATTTGACGATTCCCAATTGGGATGATGACGGGGTATGAAAATTAAAAATCTTATTAGTCTCTGTTCTCAAGTTCTGTTAATAAGTTAGGTAATAAAAAATATTAGACATGTATTTTTTTATTTTATTGTATAATAAAATAAAACGAATCAAAGTTTAGGAGTGGGGGCTAAAACGTCATTTCTACGTATAATTTTCATAGAAGTGACGTCACGCGACATTTCAAATCAATATATCGTCAAAAGAATTCGTTTCTGTAAGAAAATAAGAAATACATGTCTAATGATTTAATATGACTATGAATATGAATGATATTGAAATAAAAATTAGGCATCTACCCTAATGTAAGTCGCATATTTTTCAAGGAAATAAATGCTTATGTTACGTTAATTAAGGTTTATTGATTAATTAAACAATTCTTAATTTCCTCACTTTACTTAATAGACATTATTTCTTCGCATACAAATGTATTCGCATACATTTAAATCAATCTCGAAAGCGGGATTTCTTAAGACTTGCCGTATAAGACCTTCCCTGTAATCCAATTGAATCAAATTAATGTATTGAACTGTATGTATTCACAGTTCGTGACTAAACGATTGAAGCAAACATGTATTTAATGTAG